CTTGCTCCTAGTAGTAAGGCCAGGAGCCCCTAGTAGCGTCCTTGCTCCTAGTAGTAAGGCCAGGAGCCCCTAGTAGCGTCCTTGCTCCTGTCTGGTCCACTCTGGTGACTTCAGCCACAAGCCGCGCCCGCGGCCTCGCAGCCCAGCACCGAGCTCTCTGCGGCGCTGCTGGTCTGGCCGAGGGTCGAAGACGCAGCGAACGTCGAAGCGCGCGGTGGAAGCCAAGGCATGAAGCCCATGGAATTCAAGGCATGGAAGCCAACCAAAGTGTGGCATTCAAAAGGCATTTTGAAGATGCTTGATGGATGTTGATGGGGTTGATTCTAGGAGACATGTGGGTGATTCCCGAAACCAATGGGTGTGAGGAAGCCATTTCCCTGTCCCGGCACCCACGAGGACCAGCTGGTTGAACAACAAAGCACAAAGCACAGGTGTTCCGTCTCTTTCTTCACTCCAGAGAACACCGGCACGTGTGCATCACCACGTGTGCAGCCGCCGCCTGTTGTCCCTGCTTGTGGATGATCACCATCCACATCACTACGAACTCCGCCACTCGCACCAAGTAGTAGGAGTCCTCGTAGCGATAAACACATTCTTGTTGAGAGACTCCCAAGGTAAAATACAATCCTCTTTTGTTCCGTGACTAGAAATGATGGATGCCCCCCTTGGAAAGCTTTGAGAAACGCCAGCCCAAGAGCTCAGTGGTTGGGTCACCACCTGAGTCTCGAACATGGGAAGTCTCTGTGTACTTTCTCCGGTGGACTCCATTTCGCTTTCTTCACCCAAAGCTTTTCACAGTATTGAAATATCCAGATCTTGTTCAGGTTGTCTGGGACAATGCGTATCTTTTTGATGTGATAAAGCCATTTGGAACAAAAGTCTTAATTCAGCTTGTTCTCATCAGAAGCTGGTTTTACCTCGTGTGTCTATGAGTTGAGTTGCGTTTGTAAACCTCACACGTTCATTCACCTCCACCTGACAGCCGTCTCCAGCCGTCTCCCGTCCCAGGTGGGCTCCTTGGGCACCGCATGATCTTCCCTTCGCCAAACTAAAGGTTCCAAGCTCACCAGCACCAAGGGCAACGCCACGAACAAGCCTGGAACCACGCCGATGACCGCGAGCGAGAAAACGAGAGAAAGAACAAACGAGTGTTCTACTCGCGTGGGGCGAACGTCAGCTGCGGCGATTTGGATACGTAAAACGATGCGGATGCCGAACGGGATTCCGAGGATGGGTGAAAAACAGGTGATATTTTGTTGTTTGCTTCACTGGGAGGTGCTTGTTAAATGCTGGGTCTGAGATGCAGCAAGTGAGAATGAGTCAAAAGTGCTTGAGCAGGGGGACCAAACTGAAGCTATTCACTTGCACCACGGTCAGAACCTCTTGTTTCATCGGTATTGACGGTGGATCCACGAAAAAAGCTGCGGTCTATGCAGGAAAAAACACGCGCATGGCAATCGTTCACTTGTACAAAACATGTCCGTAAAAATGGACATGTTGATGGAACACAACTTTTTCACGCTGGTGTCTTTGAACAACCATGTCGTCCAGTCGGTCAAAGGGGTTAGTGAAAACACTGGGTCGATGCCACGAACCCAAAAAACTCACATCCGGAAGTCACATGTCTTAGTATATAGTTCTTTTTAGTACAAGTATGTCTTCGAAGCTTCTTAGTAAAGCTTTCTAGTAACGACCAAAGCTTCCTTGGGAATCGTTTCACTGGGAATCGTTTCATCCGGAACTCTGGAAGGATGAAAAGGATGCAAGCTTCAGCCGCCGTTGGCATGCTCAAGGTACCAAGCTTCAACGAGCTTCAAAAACCGGTGACCAGGTGTGACCACGTGCGACCACGGGACTTAACCACATGTTCCAGAAGCTCCTTTTGGGTAACTTGTTCACTTGACGTCACTTGGGTTGAACTCACCATGCCTGGGATGGTTGGCCAACTGATGTAACTAGGAGTTCAACCATCCATGCCTTCCAGAGTTCTCTACTAGGTTGGAGGCCATCGCTCACCATCCATGCCAACACCCGCCCGTTGAAGCGAATCCGAGTGCCAGGCCATAGGTGAACTGCACAGACTGGTGCCGCACGATTAAGAAGAGCATGATGCCTTGGAGGTCCGGGTCTGCTTTCCTTACCAATCACCGAGAAGAACCGTGAAATTGAATCAATTGAACACATGGTCAACTACTCCAGATAAAAACCGACAGAACTCGGATGATATGTTCTTCCACATTGTCATATGTTTCTCTATATTTGACAACTTTACTGGTGTTTCTGTTGTCGTCGGGGCATCTACATCAAACATGTGCGACCACAACAAGGAACTTTTTGTGGCACTGAGAGTGGCCTCCACGAGATCAAAATCTTGGACGCCTAAATGGTTCAGTTGGGACCGCCCTGTTGTTTTTGATCTCGTTTCGTTTGAAGACGATGCAAAAAGCAAAGGATGCGAATCCCCGGAGAGTGAGACCAGTCACGTCAGCTAAGCGGAGAGTGAGACTCCACGAATCTCGGCGTCTGATTCTATTTATCCAGTGGATAGTCTGGGCATGTCTGGGCCCTCATGTAGCCAATGTGAGCCCAGTCAAGTGTAGCAAAACACGCGCTACCCTTAACCCATCGCAACATGGCTTTCACAGCAGAAATGCAGAAAGCAAAGAATGGTTGCAACATCCACCTCCCAGCAAATGGATGCCTAAAAAAGTCGTCCCACAGCGGCCTTTTCGCAGGTTTTGCTCTCAGGACTGTGCCTTTTCAAGGTTTGGTTGTCTCCCAAATCCCCGTTTTAGGCTGTGTGGATCAGGACATTTGGACCAAATCCCGCTTCGTTCGACTGGCGTAGACTGCGGAATGGGGCAACGGTGCTTCGGTGCTTCCCCGTCCAGCTCAACCCCCCCCATCTCCCAGTTTCTTGCCCACGTGGACGAATCCTCAAAGAGACACAAATAAGCAAACAGGAATTTCTAAGCGTTACGCAATAGCGATGGCCTCCAACCCAATAGGAATGGCTTACAACCCAAGGGCGATTGCCTCCAACCTAATCGGAATTTCTAAACGTATGAGTAGCTTAAAAACTATTGGAGTGAGGGTGGCAATGGCTGCAGCCACCTTTTGTGCACCTTTGTATCCACAAACGGCGCATATCGCATATCTCCTCAAGTAGGAAATCCTGTTTCCTCTAAACTGTCCATGTCCACGGCACGCACCGCGACTTAGCGGCTAGATGCAGAACAAGGCACAGTAGTCTGCGGCTAGGGACCAAAAGAAGCCATACGGGTGGGTCAAACCTGCCAAAAGGGACACAATTGGACACCCTACGAGGGGAAACACCAGTGGCGGTGATGACTAGGTCTGAATGGGTGCGATGATCCCCCTGGGTCTTTTTAGCCATTGGTGGCCGGGTGATCCTTTCTTGTTTCCCACCTTGTTGAGAACTCTGGCTACCTAAAAGCAATGGCCTCCAACCCAATGGGAATGGCCTCCAACCTAATGGGAATGGCCTCCACCCTACTAGCGATGGCCTCCAACCTACTAGCGATGGCCTCCAACCTAATAGGAATGGCCTCCAACCTCTTTCAAGTAAACCCCTGAAATCAAGATTCCTTGAGAAAGTTCCAGCTCATGAGTTGAGTGGAGCTGAGGTTGTTGCACTATGTTTCATCCCTCTACAACAGTATGGTCGCTTCAAATAACCAACAACATCTTGTTGAGTGAAATTTGTTCGCCGTTCATGCAAAAACCGAACATTCGCAGAGTGTCACAGAGGACAAGGCAATGGCCAAGATGCAAAAGCAAGCGCACGCGTGCGTTCTTTTTTTCACAGGCACTTCTACAAGACGTTTTGAGATGACAGTTAGGAAAGTAGGGTATGCCAGCCAAGCAAGCATTTTTTCTTCAACATCTTATTGTCTTTGGGGGAAAGCTGGGCAGTTCCACCCTTTCCTTGTAAATGTTGATAAAGCATCCGATATATCGGCCGGCCGTATTCAAATGTGCCTTCGGGCCGGTGAGGTCACCAATGAGATTCGATCATTCCAAGCTGGTCACCGGTGAGGTCCGTCGCAGAATCGCACAATACACCACACCAACAGGACTGAACGCCCTACACGGTGAGAAAATAGACTCACAAACAATCTTGCACTCCCCCCCAAAATGCCACACAAATCAAACTCACCCATGCGGTTAAACGTTCAACTGCAAAGTTGCAAAGACATGATACACACTGAGAAGGTTCTGAAACCATGAAAAGCTTTCTTTGGGAACCAACTGAGCAAAGGCAGTGAAACCATCTTCACCGCACGTGGTCCACCGCACGGTCTTCGCTCCACCGGTGGGTCGAACGCGCCTGAGAAGACCGCGAGCGTGGCGCTCCGTGCGGCGATCTCAAAGGCCCTCATGATGGCGACGGCTGCCACGTACCTCAGGTTGGAGAAAGCTAAAGCTACGAAGGTAGCTGGCATTACTAGGAGCAAAGGATGCTACTAGGGGCTCCTGCAAATAGCTACGAACGTAGCACGGTGCCTTACTTGTAGTAACATGCGGCATTACTACTCGGCCGGGGCGACAAAGGGGGAAGGCGAGGTAGTACGGAAGGCAATGGCCTCCAACCTACTAGCGTCCTGGCAAGCAGTAGTCTAGCAGCCTAGCAAATGATATTGGGTCCTGTCAAAGACCAGTGTCCACATTGCACAAGGCCCTCAAAGCTCTCCTTTATCTTCAGTTGGACTTGGATGTTGGCCCATCAATAGAACAAACATGAGGCAGGACCAAACTCTTTGATGTTTCCAACATGCAATCATATCATAGGGTTGGGCTAGGAAGTTGTAAGCAGTAGTCTAGCAAATGATATTGGGTCTGTTCCATCCCCTTTAGCTATCCGGCCACATGACACAAATCCAGAGCGCCCCTCACATAAGATTGACTAACACCAATGAGATAGACCGACCCTATGAACCGATAGTTTGGGCAAGTTCACGAAAGTGTCACTCCTGTCCATCCCTCTGAGAAAAGTAGTTTGTGGTAAGTCGGAGTTCGCCGTGGCTCCCCCAAAAAGGATCCTAAGTCCTAATATAGTTTGCTTCTAAGTTGGAGGATGCTAGAAGGGGCTCCTGGCCAAACTACTAGGAGCAAGGACGCTACTGGGGGCTCCTGGCCTTACTACTAGGAGCAAGGACGCTACTAAGGGCTCCTGGCCTTACTAGTAGGAACAAGGACGCTACTAGGGGCTCCTGGCCATACTACTAGGAGCAAGGACGCTAGTAGGGGCTCCTGGCCATACTACTAGG